AAAAATTAGTGGTCAATTAAAAAAATTGTATATTATTGATATCCAAGTGATATTTAGTGTGGGAGGACTTATCCACTCGGTCTGAAATGGGACAATACTTTATAATTTTGATCATCCAAATGTCAATTTTTTGAATTCCGAGGCCATGGAGGAGAAGGACCTGCAGGACCATTTGATGCCGCTGTCTTAATAACATTCAACAAGAAAAAGCCATAATGCCTTTTCACAAAAACACGAATCATTAATTGAATAATGAACACGTTGAGATAATCATCTTATGGTTAAATGTTAATTGAACAAAAATTACCCTTACTACTAGCATTAGATTGCCTTAATAGTACCAAATCATTACTCTTCTGGTCCTATTTATAAGGCACTTCCACCATGTTTCACACAAACCAAGAAAAACCTTAAATTGTACTCCCTCCGTTCCTTATTATAAGAGACATTTGATGCTTATGGCATGTTCCTATATATAAGAGACACTTAAAAGTTGTCTCTACTTTTTTGTGTTGATTTCCTATTTTACCCATATTTATTATCTCCAACTCACACTCTCTCTCCCTCTCATTTTTCTTTCTTTTAATAATTTAATTGTTCTCTCTCATGCTCTCTCTCCTTATTAATGAGGGCATTTTTGGAAAAATAATTATACTTTTTACACATTAATTGTTCTTAACTAATTTTAACTGTTTTTTTGATCAACGTATTTCGGTTATTTGTCTCTTATAATAAGGAACGGAGGGAGTATTAACTTTCATTAAAATATAGTAATTTTCCAACTTTACCCTTCAAAAAAAAAAACTATCTACACTATAATAAATGAAGGACAATATGATACATTCATACTTCATAATAAAAACTTAATAAAGTAACTTATAAATAGGATCCAGAAAAATATTCTCTCTCTACCCTATAAATAGGACCAGAAGAATATTTGTTAGTACATTATAGGGATGAGATAACAAGGATGCAAAGCGTGACAGTAGGTGCGGTTAAGCCTAGGCTAACTGGCTAAGGATTGAAATCTAAACTTTATATTCAGTGATTGTCACTTTAAGCCTAATTCTAATTAATATCCACCAAAGTGGTTGCTAGATCGCTTTATAATTATTTAGTTTAGCCTCCAAAAGTAGCTTAGACGTCACCCCTTCCCAAAAGTGGCTTGCACACCTCTTAGATGTTTGTTTTCCTATTTCTTCCCCATTTCTTTATCATGTTATATCATATACATACTCGGATTGAAGAATATCATCAGTTATGAATGGTCCTGTGGCCATCTCAGTGCGTGAGGTTCAGTGCAACCGTTTTTTGCCCTTTTTTATCCGTCTCAAGACGAAAATATCTATCAGTGCGTTAGATCTTTGTGCTGGAGAAGTGGGCGCCAAATTTAATCCTCGATGCTCGGTGTCTTGTCAAATATCCAACTCAGGCTGAGAAAATTAAATCTTCATTTTTCATCGCTAAAAAGTTGGGAAGTATCATATGATTGCCAAGTGAACTCTGCCAATTTAGCCAACAGTCTTAAATTTGAAGTTTAAGAATATGGTCGCCGTAGTGGAACTTGTCATCTAAAAGGATCCTACTCAACTTAATCCGAATTAGTCTGATGATAAATCCCTCCACTGAAACAAGACAAACCCAGCATATCAAGTGCATAAGGGGGGAAAAATGACCAGGATGCATCATCTTAAACTAAGATATACCCAATTAGAGAAGATATACACAAGTTATGATTCAAATCTGAGGGGGGAAAATAATCTAAGATGAATTATACCACTCTGTTCCGTATCGTACGTCACTTGTATCTCAAAAGTTTGTTTCAAAATATAAGTCACTTGAAGTATAATTAATGATCTTTTTCCAATTTTATCCCTATTAATTTAATAAAAAATTAATTAATCTCTCTCTTAATTTTTTTATTTCCTATGCAATCCATCCCCCCTCCCTCAACTTTTAATAGGGGTAAATATGAAAAAAAAACTAATTAATTTAATGTATTTCTTAATTTACAAGTCTGGGATACAAATGATTTATAATAAGAAACATAGTGATATTGTTTTGAACTGAGCATGAAATTGCACGAAAGCTTACACCTTTGAAAGGAAACACCACTTCCAAGTTAAAGGGCAGACTTAAATTTCAGTTCCAAAGTTGAATTTGGCCGGAAAAAGGGGAGGGAAAAAAAAGGTATAGTAATAACATGGGGTTTTAATCACATGGCGTGTGTCCGTACTTTATTCATGTGAGTACGGACGTTGCAGTGTCATGTTGTGGGCGGAGGAAAACGGAGGGATGAAGCACACATGGCACAACGTGTGGATGATGTGTTGTGTCAACGGCCATGGGTGGCTCATTACTTTGGATGCAAATCTTAGGGATGGGCTGAGAAGAATTTGAAGTGCACATGTCATGTGATCCCCGTTTGGTATACAGATTATGCTTCCTCCCTCGTTTTTCCGCACTCTTAATACCTTCATTACAGCTAATTAATGCTGTGAATGACTATAAGCCAACTCTATTAATTGCATCGGTCAATAATAAGAAAATCAAAAAATTGTAAAATCAATAAGGGTTGCATGGGAAAAAAAATTAAATAACAAATACAAAATGAATAAATATCTTATACTTAGTACAATTATGTCATGATTAAATAAAGTAAGAAGATGGGATTATGAAGAGGGAGAATTGAAAGCAGGGAAGAGACTAACTGAAAAGTCAAAACCAGCTCATCGTCAGTTAGTTGCAGAGAATCAGCGTTAACGGAAAGGGCGTCGTGGCCTCTTAACTCCAACAGACGCAGTCAGGTGGAATGTTAATACTCACTGGGATTCAAGCGCCAATATGTTGACTTAATTTTAATGTCCTGACTTCTGATGACTTGGATTTCTCTCGGAAAAGTTTTGATTTGTTAATGACTTAAGTTTGGCACAAGGAAAAACAACAGACAAAGAAGTGAGAAAATTTTAAAATGAGCTCAATTTAAATAAATAAATAAGTGATATTAAAAAATTTTAATTAATTTTTGTTATTCTTTTATCTTACAACTTTTTTCTATTAATATTTTAAAACCTTATTATTCATTTTTTCAAATACAATTTATTAAAAATATTTCTTTGCTCTTCTTTTTTTCAATTTCCACGTAATAAATGGACCTTAAGTCTATGAGATAAGACTCATTATATCTGTCTTAGATAACTTAAAAATATTTTTTAACTTAATTCAAATGGACACTAAACATAAGTCTCATGTATCATATAGATTACAGAGTTTGAAAAATAATAGACATTACTTATAGTGCTGCATAAAAAGTTTATATACCACCTCAATCCGCGTACGAATCAGTTAAAGATTTAATTTAATTTTAAGTATCAAATCACAATCCGATTTCGCATATAAATTTTAGATATGGATGATAACATTGATTTTGAGTTATGCGCTGCCTGCACATTCTATTGACAAGTGAAAATTGTCAAGAAATATTGTTAATCTTTCAAATTTTTATAGTTTTCCTGTGCCATTGATTAGCTCGTTATTTTGTTTCCCTTTTTCGGCCTTTTTTTTTTTTAAAGTATAGTTATCTTTTTATTGGAGACTATCTTATTTGAGGTACTGCCAGGTATTAAATGTGAACACTTCTTCTAACGGAGATTCAAATCTTGATTCGTTACGTTCAAATCTTAATTCGTCATATTATAAATAACGAGTTCCTTTTAATTAGATCTAAGCATGTTCGCCTCTTCGGCCTCTTTTGATGTTACTGTTAGCTCGTTATTTCGTTATTTTGCTAATAGCGAGGGAACAACAATGTCGTCATCTTTCTCTTGGCTGGCCCAAGCAAATATAGACGGAAGGGTAAAGTGGGATGCTTCAAATCTCCTGACATAAACTTCTTCAATTTCGAGTTCTCTGTATAAATGGGCAAAAGACCTTCGGTGCCCTATTTTCTAATACTCCCTTGCTCCCTTATTATAAAATTGCAACAATCGAATTACCCCATTTTAAAAAACTATTAAAATTAGTTAAAATAATAAATATGTAAAGAATATTTTTTCCCCTCAATTATGCCCTAATTTACAAGTAGGTAGGTGAGAGAAAGGGGGAAAAAAAGAAAATATATAGGAAAAAGATAACTAGAGAGACTGTATTAATTAAGTATAAAATGAGTAAACGGCATTTTTTTCATGTCACCTTAATTTTAAAAAGACAATTTAAGTTTTGACATTATGAGGTGTTGGCTTCTCAAATTGGATTTTATAAATTTACACTTCTTTTCTGTCATTTTTCTCATTCTCATTCCCTCAAGTGATTAAATTATAAAATAAAATCAAGTGTTCATGGGCTTGGATTCCTGCCGCCACCAAAAAAAAAAAAGCCAAATTGAACAAACAGGATATAACTTTGCAGAACTCTCTCTCTCTTTTTTCATTAGCATTCTCTTCTCGCTCTCCCACTCCCACGCACAAAAGACAGCATTAACACAATAAAGAGGAATGAAACGATAGCCTGAATATCTCATTAATTTAATGATAATATTAAAAAAAAATTTATAGAGCACTTTTCTTTGTCAAACTTCTTTTTGCAAGAAAATAAAATTTCTTTTTGTCAGACACTGTAGAGTTTCACTCGATCATGAATCCGCTACTTGCCATGTTGTGTTGTTTTTTTTTTCTTCAGTTATAATCTTCCTCGAATCAATTCGGTGCTTGCTACATAGTCCATTAAAGAGCTGATTTTTTAGAAGAAAATATGATATATTATTATAATAACAAAAAGGAGAAGTCGAGAAAATTCTGAAGAATTGATACGTACACAATAAAAGAAAAAGAAAAGGAAGCAACAAGACTGAGGGGAGTAAGAAACCGAAAAGGAAGAAATAGAGGAGTTAGAAAGAGAACTGGTAGGGAATTATAGTGAAGCCAATCCAATTGGCAGCTCATAGGGCGCTACACACGATCACATAGGCGCGTAATCTCTCCCTCCCACCCTCCCTCTCTCTCATATCGTCTCCCCTCTCTGGAGAGACAAATCCGCGGATCTATCTCCACCCACCATTTCCATTCATCTCATCCACACTCTCTCTCAGCCCCCTTCCTCTCCTTCCTTTCTTTATCTCTACCTCTACGCATCCTCTAATTCTGGTTTCTGCCCTGCTTCCCCCCTCTTCACTCTCTGCACATCCTGATTCGGCTTCTCTTCTTAATTCTTTGGCATGCCTTCTTCGTTCGCAGATCTGCCCCGAACTCACTCCCTCCTCGCACCCCTTTGAGCCTTCATCTGGCGCGTCGGAATTTCCAAGTTCGATCTGTTCTGGCCCCGGTTGTTCGTGCTCCTTAATTTCTCCTTTCTTAACCCTATTTCTGTCTGCAATGGCCTCTTTTCGCCCAGATCTAACATCCAGAATTTACCCTGAACCCGATGTCGCTGATGTTGACCTCTTTGATCGCTTGCCAGATTCTCTGCTTCTCCTGGTCTTCAACAAGATCGGCGATGTGAAGGCTCTTGGTCGCTGCTGTGTCGTTTCCCGCAGATTTCACTCTCTTGTGCCCCAGGTCGAGAACGTTGTTGTTCGTGTAGATTGTGTTATCTCCGACGATGATTCTTCCTCCTCCGCTGCTTCCTCTGACAAATCCCGTGGTCCTTTCTCTAATCTCTTTCGGCTAGTGTTCGGTGGCATTGTCAAGCCCCTTCAAGCTCTGGGGCAGTTCTTAGGTCCCAAAAGAACATCCTTGAGTTCTGGTCCTTCGTCCTCCTCCACCACTCTGGCCGTTGGGAGTGAAGAAGACGGGGAGGGTGATCAAGGCGGTGTGACCCATCACTCACCAACCCAAGTTTTAAAGAATTTTAATGAGATTCGGTTCCTTCGGATCGAGCTTCCCAGTGGAGAACTAGGAATAGATGATGGGGTTTTGTTAAAATGGAGAGCTGATTTTGGCTCCACTTTGGATAATTGTGTAATCTTGGGCGCTTCTTCGGTCGTGTACCCAGGACCTACGAAGTCTTTGTGCCCTCAGGAAGGGGGTTCTGACGCTGGATGTGCCAACAATGGTGGTGACGACAATGGAAGCATACCTGACTCGTTTTACACAAACGGGGGTCTGAAACTAAGGGTTGTTTGGACAATTAGCTCCTTGATAGCTGCTTCCGCAAGGCATTACTTGCTGCAACCCATCATTTCAGAGCATAAAACATTGGATAATTTAGTTTTGACGGATGCAGATGGGCAGGGTGTTTTGTCGATGAATAGAGATCAGCTCGAGGAGCTGAGAGTGAAGCCACTGTCAGCGTCGTCAGCATCAAAGAGGACTCTTGTACCCGCTCTCAATATGAGACTATGGTATGCTCCTCAGTTGGAATTGCCCGATGGGGTTGTTTTGAAGGGCGCGACCCTTGTTGCGATTAGACCTAGTGAGCTGTCCTCCACGGCAAAGAAGGAAGTCTCCGATGTATCTTGGGTTTCGACAGCATTTGGTGAACCGTATGGGGCAGCAGCAAGGATGCTGGTTAAGAGGCGGACTTACTGTCTTGAGATGAACTCCTTCTGATTGTACGAGCTTTTGGATCCATGGTAAGTTTTATAATTTTTCTGCTTCATGTTATGTGCACGCAGTATTATGTTTCCTATGCGTATTTCAATTCAGTATAAAAAATTGGAAGTGTTCCTCCTGCTCACGAAACGAAAGGCTAATAGATATTTGGAAATAAGTAAGAGAATGAATGAATGGTCGTAATGGATTGATGGCTTGCCTTCTGAAGGCATCTGACAAACAGGTGTGAGTGTGTATTTGCCTGCTAAATGAGCCAGAGTTCGGGGCCAAATGATGCATGGTCAATTGAACCCACTTAGGATTTTGGCTGCAGTTTTCTAATTTCTGACAGGCAATCTGTCTGCATGACTCTAGATATTTATTGCAACACTTGAATTGAATGTCAATTACATAACAGTAAAAGCCTAATATTTGTCCATCTCTTGGAGATACGTGCTTTGACGGGGAGATGGATAGGGAGAAAGTGCAACTTATGCAATGCTCTTTAGATTGAAAAGAGGAAAGGTTTCTTTAAGTGGTCTTATGTTTCTAATTTTGGGTGCTGGCTTAATTTTCACTTGATTACTATCATGTTATTTCAACTTTCACCAATCTAATTCATTTGTTAAAATTGGGTGTTTCAGGGAAAGCGCAATCAGGCGAGGAACAGGGAAACATGGTACTCCCTCAAAGAAAGAACGAGAAAGGGCAATTTTTCTTGAGCGTACATGGAGTTAGGCACCTAAGGCAAGCCGAATTTTGCTCTTCCTTGCCTCTCAAGTTGCAGCCACATTTGAATGATGATTAAAGGGCTGCCAGTTATTCGGCTGTTGTGCCTGAACTGTGAACTAAATGCATCTGCTGGGTTTTTTTAATTTGAAGCAATGCTTGTAAGATTGCACACCTGCCTGTAACAGCTGAGTTTGTAGCCACCTTTTTCCATTTTCAGTTATTCCTCTGTGAATATTCAGTAGGTACCAGTTTGGTATGCTTTTGTGATATATTCTTCTGAAGTGAAATGAGCAATGTACTTTGCATCTGTAAGTTCAAATGACTTCTGGATGAACGAACCAATCCTATTCATGCAATACAGGTTCCTGCACCTACTCACTGCTGTTAGGTGTTTTGCTGGATACCTGACTCAGGTTACCAGCATTCAGAAATGTGTAGGGAAACACTCTGTAGAACAAAACAAGATTGATCCAATGACATTGTTCGCACTTTTAACGATATTATTTGTGTTCTTCCGCTGCTGTTATTCTCTTAAGTGACCATTTAATCCGAAAAGATCAAGCTTTCGCTTCAAATTGTTTCATGCGGGGAGCATGATCCCTTTTTTGACTTTTCCCTCCTCTTTTTGTAACTTGTTATAGAAAAATAATTTAGGATTCATCAGAGAAGTTTATGCGAGGTGGATCCAATTTTGGTAAATCTTTTAAAAGTTGTAGGTTAATATTTTTAATATAATTAGGAAATATGAGTTTATTAAAACACTCAACTATGGCATGATGAATTATAAAAGAAAATTATCTTAGCCGCATCTTGTGAAGAATCTGGTTGTAAAAATGTTTGAAAAAAAAGTGCGTAAAGACTTCCCCTGATATCATACAGAAGTATACATGGCGAAAAAAAAAAAGTACACAGAAGTGTAATATACAGATGATATATTAGTTCGTAACATAATTGAAACTGCAGCCCTGGCAACGCTACCAACTGCAGACACAGTTACACGCGTGATAAGTACACATAATTTAGCATGGCGAGCTGAGTCGCACATGTGGGATGTGTGTGGTGGATAATTGATACTTAATTCGGTTGCAAAATTTTTATGATTTAGTAGTCACATGATGTCTAGTTGGTGTTTTTGATTGCCTGTAAAAGCGCTTGTTTGGTGGCTTTTTTTCTGGTTAGGTTGATGACTTTTATGACAGACACAACATAATATTGGTTCTGTTCTGTGATTTAAAGCAACTCAATTATTTAGTGGTAAATTGTTTTTTTCCCAACCCCAAACAGGATTACACGATTAGCAGTAAGGAAAAACGTTAGCCATTATTAAATGCTACAGAAATTCATAGGCTCCATGATTGTGTTATTTGGGGTAGATTTGACATCAACGTCACCAGCACCACCATTCAATTGCACAGGGGGGAAAAGGCAAAAAAAAAAAAAAGAGAAAGAGAGAGAGAGAGAGAACAACATCATCATGTCTTTAATTTTTAAAGTCGCCCACCTCTTTAAATATTGTAACTTGTCATCAATGTGCTATCCTATCCCCTGACATTTTCAATAATTAATTCATCCTATAATTTGAAATTAAAATTTCTTCTAAGTGCCAAGGACCCATGTGTATGCCCAAGTTTTCCTTTCATTAATTATAATTATGTTAAATGCAATGCCACTTTATTAGATCTTTGTACAAACTAGTAAGTATGAACTTTATTGAAAGGTTTTCGTGGAAGGCGGGGAACAAAAGGCTTTTGAAAATTAAGTTTGGTGTACAAGAGACGAAGTTGTCCATTCAAAATGGGATTTTGAACATTCTTAAGTTTGGTAGTTCACTGATCCTAACCAATAGAAAGCACGGGTTGAATGAACAAGAAACCTGAAGGGTTGAGCTTATCTTGAGGTGTAAAGAGGTCAAGAAGCCGAGTTTGCTGTTGAAAATTAGAAAATTATAGTCTTTGTCTACAAAGACAAGTCTCCATGACCATTACGTTCTGGATAGAATGGAGCAAGCCGGGGTGGGACATGGGATTGTTTGAACCATCGGATATTTACCTTGTTGCCTGTTGGATTTAACTCCAGAAACTGCAATATTCAATGGAAAAGATGCAATCCACAGGGTATAACCTAATGGAATACAAAGATCTGAGCGAACCAAATATCCTAGTGCATTCGAGAGCACCACTCTCCTCACCACTCTCTAACCAATTCCATGCTCCAACCTAACGGCCTCCCTGACAACAAATACCCCTCAGTAACTAACTGCTAATCCCCTTTTTCCCTTATTGTCCTCATTACAGATTCGGCCCTTCCCTCTCACGTATTGGGCTTTTTCCTTACATACTTAAACACAGGCCCGGGTTCAACATTGCCACAACTTTCTTAACACTCCTGTCTGAATTTTTCTGGAAGGTCCTTCCTTATGCTTCCAGAAGCAGCTTGTGTCCATCCTCGTTAACTGAGACACAGCGCAAATGAATGAGACGTGTGATCACAAGCTTCTAGAGCTATTCAAAGCTCAAAACTTCTGGCTAAGGCCTAAGACTGGCTTTTTAAATGTGTTCAATCGCTTCAACCTTGTGTAAATATTAAATTTGTGATTCTTGTTGGCCTGATAATTTTTTTTTTTAAATGATTCTCCTGTCAATTCTTCGTCCTAAACCAGAGGTATTTGCTTCCCCTGAAATTACATTATTTCATATAAATGCTGACATGCGACTGATAAGGTGGAAATCATTAATGTTCCATGTCAGCGTAGAATATTAGTAAGCATGATTAACTTGGAATAAAAATCTCTCTTATTATTTAATAAATCCAAACATGTTCTGAACTGTTCTTTAGAGGCTCATAAATGTCGCTTCAAAACTGCAAGCATTCCAGTTGTGAATGACGGGGCAAGGCTGCTTCCTAGAACCGACGTCTATTTTTCTTTACTCAAACAATAATTCATATTCTTAATTATTTTATTAGCTTGATTAGCTGTTTCTGGCTTCCTGCTTCCAACTTTATCTGTTTGTCACGTGAGGTATCTTAGCTTTGTACCCTTCTAATCCCACGTGAAATGAGATATATGAACTCTGTACTCAAAAGAACTCAAGCTCTTGCACACTGTAAGAAACAGGTCTTCTTACTCCAAAAAAAAAAAATCTTTTGACCTGTGGCTATCATTTTCAATTATTCCTTTGTATTCTTATTCCACATTCATTGGCGATATAATTATGTGTATGTATAATATAAACAAAGAGGCAAAGCTCAGATTATAGTTGATGTCACTTTCTCTAATATTCCACCCAAGTTTTAAAATTGTGGTGCAAGATAGATGCATCCAAATGGAAGAATATATAGGAAACAGAAAACGGTGAAGAAGCCCCCACATGCTAATTTATATGCCGGCAGAGGCTGTGACACAAAGTTGATGAGCTAGTGGGAGATATTAATAATTATTAATAATATATTATCGATACACTAAGGAGCAGGCAGGGTAGAGATAAGAAAAAGAAAATCATGTTTATGTTTGGATCATTGGATTATCCAATAATTGTGTTCAGCATGATCATGAATCATGACCCACCACTAGCATTTCGGGACATTTCAGGAGGCACCTGCAACTTTTATGCCACTTTTGGTTTTTGGGAGAAATTAGTTACTGCATGAACGTCTTATTTGACCTTAAGAAAATTACTTATGATTTATCTTTTCCGTGAAAATGCTGCAAGATCATGGTTTTAAAAACACCAGCATTTGCTTCATTATAACAGAAAAATGGCGTCCAACTATGCACAGAAAATCTGCACATATCTCTTGGCTTTTGCCCTTTCTTTCATTTTCTTTCAAGCTAAAGTCGATCTGATATTCTCTTTTTTAGGTAGAAGTTGCTTTCATTTTACTTTTGCAGAGCAACTAAGCTTTGCTGCCACCATGCCTTTTTTTATTGTTATATTTATTTGTTATACATCCTTAAGGTTAGACTCATTTGTACCTTCTTTTAATGTGTCTCCTCTTCCTCCACCAGGGGAAGCGGGTTAAAAAGCTATAAGTAGGAAGAGCACATGCATCGAACAGACCCAAACAATGAGTAGAGTTGAAGGTTTAGGTTGGGAGATGAGGAAAATAGAAGAATAAATAACATGAATCAAAATGTACCATATAAGCAAGTGTAGCAGATTCCATAACAAAACAACAGCACTTGTGCACAGCTGTCTTGAAAAAAACAAATCTCAACTGGATTTACTACTTGATCTCATACAACATATTATATAGTCGAAGTCTGTGTGGTTAAATAACACTATTTTTTGGGAAGAGAAATGACATTAAATTTATGATTATCGGATTGGATTTGGGTTTATACTGTGTCGAAGGCTGACGAATTGCAGCATCCATTAGCAAACTAATTCCCGGGCCTTTCCGAAGCCAATATGGTATATAGACAATCCCAAAATTAACTTGCAAGAACCCAAAGAATGAGCAAACAGGTTCAATCATGTTCTTTTAACATTCCATCAACATACAAAATGATCTGCATGCTCAGACCGATATATACTTAAATACCGAATGTAAAATGAATGACTTCAAATTGGTCCAAGTTAAATACCCACACTTGATCACAAACAACGTACCATCCCATGTGTCCAAGGCCAAGCTTACAGACACAACTTGCTACTAGAACTCTTTCCCTTGGTGTCCTGCATCAAATAAACCCAGAACAATGAATATGATCAAAAGGGAAATCCGTACACAGTACTTGCAAATCACACCTATTAGCATCTATATGTTGTTTATCTTTAGAAGGTGAAAGATCAGGTTAAAAATTTACGAGCAAGAATCAGCCATCGATGTATAGATGTTCCCGGATGCTAAAAAACCATGAGTACTCGAATACTTGAACAAATATAATTTGTCTGCTAGATGAGTCATGAGCTCTCTATAAATTTGATGAAGCCGTTTGACTTGGAAGATAATTATTTCCTTTTCTACTTGCAGGGGACTGACACCTAAGATTTGAACAAAAATGCTTACATGTGAAGGTACAAACCCATTTCGAGTGATTTCTGTTTACAGATGGATATCTTTAAGTGGGACTACAAAGATATGTCAAAATAAAAAGCTTTTTATGAAGTTTACGCGTGACAGTGTCCTCTACGGTGTCCTCTTATATTTCTTGCAGTTCATGTCACATAGTAAGGATGACAATGATAATAGCAGAAAGTTCTAGAAAATCTTTGAATCAGGTTCTTCTCTTCATTTCGGAAAGGCGGAACAATCAATAGAGATTGAGTTTCAAGGAAATATGAATCTATGCCTTCTGTCTCCAGAGGGAAAATCACTTGGATCTTTCGGTGTATCCGTCAACTACTTCAAATGTACCAAATAATATCGATGGTATAATTTGGATGGCTAACTGAGTTTCGAAATCCTATTACAACCATCACTAGGGTGGTGTCATATATACTAAAATATCATGGTAATTTGCTTCGAAGGAATTTAGAATTGCTTCTACAGTAATCTGGGCTTGATATATATACATGCCTCTCAGAACCTGGTGCACTTCTATAGCAGCTTACTCTTTAAACGGTTGTCGAAACTTTATAATGCTTTTCGCTAATATTTTCTTAATAAGCTGGACTCAGAGCATAATTTGTTAACATCTAGTTACAGAAATATTCGTAAGGCTAGAATTTCGCTTTTTGGGTTCAATTGCTAGGTTTCCCATTTGCCAATACATAGTAAGTAACGCACGTGAAGAACCAGAGTCCAAAATGACTGCTAAATGCAGAGTTAACATAACATGCTTCACATTCAAAAATTCAACTGTGTTGCTCATTCCCAGATTAAAACAACCAGAGGCCAAAATAACTATACGACGACTACGTATATGTTAGTTCCTCTATCAGTTCTCATGCATTACCATCCCACAAAGCCCTTGCCCCCTCCAACCATTCCCCAACTAGACTGGTGAGTATAATCGTAAAGTCGAACATAAGGCTCGCCTAAGATATAGATGGTTGACTTAAGAAATCGACCCAAAATTTATCCCATGTCTTTTTCACACATACAGTCAAATTAACAACTTGATGTGATTGCGGGACCTACCGCAAATCCGGTTGCTACAAAGTAAAACCTTCTTATTAGTTAACCAAAACGAAAAAAAAAGAGACCATGCTGATTATATTGTATATCTCAAGAAGAGAATGGAAATAATACAAGTAATTGTGAAATATAAAACTTAGGCTTCTGCAAAGAAGTAGCTAGATGTGCCTAATATCCATGGTCATCTTCATTCTGAACAGTAATACTAATATAAATTTTCCCCTCCTTGACAGTCATCAATCTGAATGAGATCTATGCTCATTATCACTCATTCAATCTATGTATTTGTATACTAGGAAAGTTCAAAGGTCAAATTTGTCCTAAACCGACTTCATGATCAAGCATTTCCCCCTTAGTTTAGACCTCAGTTCATGACACGAACAGTTAATTAGGTCACTTTTTTCTCCTCGATTTTTGGCTTCCTTTTTTGTTCCCTTCGTTGGCATGACCATATGCTAGAGACTACCCGAAAATGACTAAATCTATGCAGAGATGTGGCATTGCAAAACATGTAAAACAATCATTCACTGTGCGGTTCTCTTTCCTCTTCCAATAATGAGCTACGTGCGAGAGTGCAATGCAGAACTATATCCCTTCCCTAGCATATGGCAGCCAACTTAAACCAATTGATGGGGATTCACAGAAAATAAAAGAGCAAGTTGTGCAAGGTTCTTACATCATGCATGAAAAGCAGCTTGTGACATTCAATACAAAGACAGGGTGGGACAAACAGCCATGTCTCTTCGCGGAGAGTTAATGATCAACTGGTATGCCTTACATAAAACAAATGATTTATTTTAAAACAAAACAACTGATTTCTATATTTATATAGTTAATCTAAACGGGGCAATTTAGTTTAAGGTTTTGGGTTTATATTGCATCCAAAATCACTGGGTACGACTAAACATGTTTTCAAGTGCATCGAACAAAATTGTAAATAAGCCAAACTATTCATGATTATTATGAACATCGTGACTTATTATAGATTTTTTTATTCAATGTTGATGGATGATTTTATGTTTGTCCTTACAAGTTAGTAATCTCAATAGGCGTGGACACCGGATTCAACTCTATCAAGATTAAATAATATCCAATTGGATACAACTACTCTTACTAAATGGAGTTAACATATGATCTATTATGCTTTGTCAACGAAATTTAAAATAAATTGTTAATCAAATATCTCGTTCAATAACTAAAACCCAATTTTCTCTATTGGGAAATATGTCTAAAACATCCCGACTAGTAACATAATATTTAATTTAAATTATTTCGGTAACATAATTTGTTTGTCTATTTAGTACAAGATTTATAAATGAATCAATTAATGAATAATAACATATTTGAATATATGATATGAGTATGGTTTTCTTTGTCTCTGTTGAAGCGTATTGGTCAAAATAATTGCTGTCGAAACAAAACGGCCACACTAATGTAATGTTATTTCAATAATCGATTTAGAAATTTGGACAGCCCAAATTCTATATTTAAATGCTTAAATTTTCTATTATATTTTTCTAAAGTAGTTTGTGGCAACAAAACGATTTCTATTTGATGCAGCTTTCAGATAAAAGTATAAAAAATCTCAAAAAAAAAAAAATCATATACAATAGACTATCCAAATGAAATCTGAATCAACATAGAAAACATACTACTCCTTGTGTCCGAACTTATTTTCTAAGAATCTGGACTGAGTTTCCTGTTGGATCAAATTCAAAAGTTGTGTTAAAAATTCTCTCCGATGCGAGCTTGATTGTCAGAAATGTTTAATTCTTGTTTTTTATAGCAGCACATGATCAAACTTGTTTAAAGCATTTAAATAGTTTTCAAATTGTTTTCTTCCCGAGTTGGACAAAAAAGCGTATGTACTTGTATGGCATTATAAATATAAGTTTTCAGTGATGTACCACATGGACAATTCAAATTTCAAACAAGGATGTCATGAAGTGAGTAGTTCCAGCTAAAGCGACCCTAATGCAGGGGTCTGGGTGAGTCAGTGCTGATAACCTATTGTCTGTACTCGCAATTCTCCCTCGTAATAATTTCTACCCAAGACTAAGAACAGTACACCTGTCTCTTTGATGCTCAAGGAGTCAAGTCAAGCATGCCTACGTGCATGGACCTTTCACCATATATCATATGGAAAAAGAGAAGTCCTTCATTTATGATTCTCACGTCTTGTCGACAGACCCTTCCTCAGTGCCGTTTGGGAGTCAGAAAAAATAAGTAGGATAGGGATTATAAAGCTGCTCTTTCGACCCTCATTGTGATTTGTAAAGCTATTTTTAAGCTCTGGTTTTTGCACACTTTCCAACTAGACCCCACTCAACGGCCCTGGACAGGGTTTTCACTACACATAAGCTTACACCTGTCATGGACACCGCATTTGCTACAGAGCAAGGAATCAACCCTAGTGCAAAACCAGGAGACAACCAGCCAATATTGATCACGACAATCCACGCAGGAATCATCTCAAGAGACAGCATATAAAACAGATATCACCCATCATAAAATATATATACATGGCCAACGGTATGATTACCTAGAAAGTAAACGGCTCATTCCTCATGGTATTGCACAATGCACACAACACGGATATCAAAAAAGTTTTTTTAATGAAAAGACATTCAAATTTTGTGTCCTCTATGTTACAAACGAGAGTTATGCACCAACTGGCCCAGAAACGGGCAAAAAAATGCAAGGGTGATGTACGTACGTTAATAAATCAGTATAATATAAAGGGAAATGAGAAAATTAATTAAATAAAGATGATTTGGATTTTGGGAAAATTACCAGGAAGATGTAGCAAGGGCAATGTGGTGTGTCGACGGCAGACATCAGTTCTTGCCTTTGCCCTTGTGGTCAGAATGGCGGGTTACGTCGCCATAACGTAGCTGCAAACGGCCATCAAATCCAGGTGGGAACTGGTGGTGGTGGTGATTCTCCATGGTTTGTGCAGCAGCAGCTCCTATGAGGAAAGGTAGATTGGATCCGTCTACAGGAGTAGAAAACCTCTGAAGAGGGTGAGGCAAAACAGACGGTGAATTGGACTGAAGGGTCCCCCTGTTGAAACCAGCTAGGCCTGCAGAAGAAGAGATGGTGAAGTTGAAGTTGTAGTCACTGCTTCCGCCAGGTATGAGATGGTCAGTAGGCATGAATGAGAAATGCTGCAGCTGATCTGAGTGATTTTCGCCCCCCACACTGAATGGAGAAACAGACAGTGCCTGAAGGGGAAGGGAAGAGTTTGCCAATTGGATTTGTCCTGAAAACCCTGAAGATTGATTATGAGTTCTAATAGAGGGATTCCCCACAAGGCCTGAGTTGAAGTAGTCCATGGGTGTTGTACACCATTGCTGTCTCGCTGCCTTGTTGAACAAATTAGTCTCATGATGATCATCACCGGTGGGACTCGTGGTGGAAGGAACCGTACTAGTAATCCCCCCCGTGAGAAGCTCGGTGAAAGAAGCAGTTTGAGAAATGGGGTTATTCACATTATTGTGGGGATGGGCAGTGTTCTCTTTCTCCTTCTCTTTTGCTGCTCTCTCTCTTGCCCTCTCTCGGGCTTTCACACGGTTTACTCGAATCTCAGACCTTGAGAGGGACAAGCCGGAGCCTTTGCTTGTCTCGGAAGTGCTGCTACAGGCAGACTTAGACAAAGAAAGGTTCTGACTTTGAGTCTGATGATAATCACCCTCACCACCTACCTCAGCATGAGCTGCATCAAACCCTTGTACTGTTCCGACACCCCCTCTTTTCTCATCGCTTGGCCGCTTTGGGCTATCAGGGAATGTGTTGTTCAGAGACGGAAGCTCAGAAATGGCGTCACCAGCTGCTTTGATCAGCCACTCCACAGCTTTACTGGGTTGGTCATAGCCAAGCCGATCTTGAAGATCATAGAACTGGATTGCTGTGGTGACCGAGAGCCTGACCCTTCGGTCTCTTAAACCCTTTGAAGTCATGACCTTGCTGTGCCGGTCTTTCCCTCCAGATGCTCGAGAAACCCTAATGATTCTTGAAGAATGGTGGTGCCAGCTATGGAACCGATTCGAGCTGACGTCGCCAACTCCCCCTCTTCTCAACAGCTCTCCGTCTTCTTCGCCGTCTGGCCATTGCTCGCTCCCTCTAGAACCTATCCTGTTGAAGTCGTTTCTGCCATTTCCGACTCTAGCGAATTTACACGCTTGTGCTTGAATCGCATCCTCCTCCATACCACAATCATGCCTTTTCCACACAAAAGCTCGAGCTTGAACCTTATTTCCCTTCTGTTCCCTACACTTCTATAGAGGTAGAGAGAGAAATATTCACAGAAATTATATGGGGAGAGAGAGAGGGAATGTGTGATTAGAGCTAGCGCAGGGTAGGGTTGCTATGTCCTTTGCATTGATGACGATGATTCAGAGAGTACTCTGTAGACAGATAAGAGAACTTTTTTTAGCGCTCCGATATATCACCGTCCAAGTCAGGGGCCTCCGTTTAAGCTTTTTGCAGTTTGCAGAAATGCTTTCAAAGGCAAAGACTGAGTAGGTCTCAGAGCCTCGGCCTCAGCTCCTGCTAAACCCAGAAACAACCGACCCACAAACCCCCATTAGAAGAAAAATATATCATCAGATAAAAAAGCAAGGAAGAAAAAGAAAAAAAATAGCAGCAAATGCTTAATACGTACACATTCTCAGCAGAGAAGATCTGAGCATGTTTAGCACATTAAAATCTAACTTCTACTAAAAACTTGAGCTCGGGAGCCTACTACGATCTGACATTCTGCTTTCTTTTTAAGCTATGGAGAAAAAATTGTAGATGATTCACTTAACTGAGCCAACCCTTTTAACTTCTGCAGTGCATAAGGATTTCTTTCATTCTGACATTCGAATATATCTCGCGGAGTGTAGCTACGAAAATAACTCAAGCTTCATGGCTTAAAGACTTAGTTGACATATTACGATTCACTTGGTAAACCGATATTTGCTAATTATTAAACTGCTCTGCAGAATTTTAAAAGAAAATGACTAAAAACTCTCCCATTTTGTTAAGCTTCATTATGTTCAGCAATGTTGGTTCGGAGTCTGAGATGTTAAGCTCTCAAAACCCAGTGGGATTACACAATACTAAAGACAATCCGCAGCTCACAGATCTGTGCACCTGGAGTTGCTTACATATGAATTAAAACGAAACAAAAATATGGAAGCCTCCAAATTTTGGCTACCTGAAAGACATTATACTCTCAGATCAGCCCTCATTTCTTTCTTTCCCCCACAAAAACAAACGCAAAAAATAGCCATGTCAGTTTAAAATTCATGTAGACTTGAATGAAAATCAGTAGGAGAAACTAGAGAAAAGCATGAAAGAGACTGGAAGGGTAGGGAGACAAGAACAACCTTTTGTGCCTGACTTTCAGGAACTAAGCTCCTTCTTGCTCTCCTGAATTTCCCAAATGGTCTTCCTTGCTTCCCAAGTGTGTGCCTTTAAATACACCACAGAAAAAAGTTCAGTCTTTTAGTTTTTTATTTAATTATCTACTTGTTTTAAGAATCTAACTCTCACCCTTATGCGTGTCCAATAGACAAGAGACCTCAAATACACAACCAAAGCGTGGGAAATTATGCTTTTTTGAAGCGAACTTAGAGTTTGATTAACACTTACAGTTGCTTTATTCTCTCTGAGCACGTAAATATGCACAGTAGTAAAATTAAAGGAAGAAAGGTGGGAGAGGGTAGAAGGATGTTCTAGGGTTCGTTGTTTGGTGGGTGAGAAACAGAAAGAAAGGGAGGGAAAATAACCCAGGTATAGAGAGGAATTGGGTGGTTTTGAGGGAAAAAGCAGGTTGCTCAAAAAGTGCCCTAAGCTGAGGAGCAGACAGAAGGAAGGAAGGAAGGAAGGAGGAGGAGGAGGAGCTAGTTGGGTTGTTCAGTTCTTTTCCGGCGGAACAATGCGCGGGCTTATCGGGAGAAGCCAGACACTACGCCGTTCCGATGCTTATGTAGGTCTACTGTTTCACAATTGCACTTGCTTTTTCTCATATTTACTCATTTACCTTCCCTCCCTCCTCCATCCCTATCGTAAGCTGTATGACTATGTTATGTCAATTATATACAACACAATAGCACTGCACCAATAAATCTCTCTCTCTCTCTCTCTATATATATATATATATATTCCTACTTTAAATTACATCCAAGGCCAAAAAAAGTTTTAATTACAACAAAAATGAAACTCAAGTTCAAATTAGTATATCAAATAAAATTTAGAAAATTAGGGAACAAAATCAAATGACGTCAAAGAACAATAATTTGACCTCGTTCTTAATATTCATTTTTTCTTAATCCTTTAATTTGGCCTCATTCCAAATACATTTGGCTTCTTATAGGCTGGATCTTATACGGCGTGGATACTCTTGTGATTTCAGCAAAGTTTCTTTTTTCTCCAGATTTGATAAAAACGTGAATGATTAATTAACTTATGTCATTTCTGATGGATTAATAATTTTCCAGTATGATTTAAAACTCCAATAGAACCTACGTAGCACAACCAATGAGAACTGAGAAGAAGAAGAAGAAGAAGAAGAAGAAGAAGAAGCAGAGGGGAAAAAAGGGAAAATAAGTTTTACGAAATGCTGGTTTAGCATGTACTTCCATTTGTAGTTTTGTACTGCTCTCAATCCCATTCACATTTCCTTCAAGTTTCAGCCTCTTTCACACAGAGAACAAAGTATAAACAGCAAATATAAAACTAAACTCTAAAAAGTTTCTTGTTAGCTTTTTGTTTAAAAAATAATAATAATAACAACCATCGTAAAGTATCAATTCATTCACGATTGTTTATATTTATCCAGCAAGTGGACCGTTACGACCACGGAATTAAGAAAAATAAACAAACAACAAAAGGTGACCAAACACCAACATTAATGATATCAAGATCAGCTAACTATATGTCCTATAAAATTTAATTTCGTATGATGATTATTTTCGCAAACAGGTACACAAGTATTACAACATTGAATTACATAATTAAATTATTTGTACTTTTATTATACCTTGTGAATTCAATCTCTAGCTTTTATGCTGCATAACGTAAGATTGAATGAATAAATTGAATGAACGGGAAAGACGATTAAAAAATTACACTTTCTCTTATCATTAATAATTTAATATAATAACTACTTAATTGATTTGGATAAATATTTAAAAAAATTAATTAATTGATTACAACAAAATTGATAAATTATAACCCTGTAATATTAGATTATATATCTTATTATAATTAAGTCATTAGGTAAATCAGCGTAAAAGAATGATAAATATGAAAAACATAGTAAATTAAGATTTCATAATTAGAATCGAATACAACTCTCACCTGACTCCTATATTATGAAGCGAGCAGTACATGTCAAACGAGTTTCAGTTGGGAGTCCAAATGGCAACATGATTAGATAAGGCAGCTGCTACTTTGTTTGGCTTTGAAGGAATCAGTTCTCTCATGAATGATGACACCCAAATAAATGAAAACAACAACTTTTGCAGGCAAGCTCATATGCATATACAGGGTCCTTTAATGTTTGTTGGGCAAAAGTTCGAAGCTCGGCCAGTTGTTTTCTCCTGGTTAAGGTGGATGGATATATGAATTTGTATGTACATATTTTGTTTTTGTTTTCTACTATATATATGCACTTTTATCATACATAACAGCTACTACTGTAACAATTTGACAACTCTAATAAATGCCCTTTTATTACCCAATAAACATATGTCCTCATGTATATATACCACCCACCAAATTATAGTACCGGCTGTAACTAAATTCATTCAGACCCTCTACAATTTATGGCAGGAAAAAAAAAGGACAATTAATTTCTTTCAGTACTAAAACAACAGTATGCTCCATTCGATCTAAAATATAATTGACTTTCCTAAAATATTCTATTTAATCAGTACTCAGTGGGCAAAAATTAAACCTTTCTTAATATACTTAATTAATAGGGATAGTTTGAAAAAAATTTTATAAATTCAAGAAATAAAATGGATTCAGATCTTACACGTAAAATGACCAAAACAAACACCCTAACTAAATACGTCCTGTGTTTAGAATCAAAAGAAGTTAAAAATAATTGTATCTGTGGGCGCTCACCTAAATATTCCGAGGTAGTTCATTTGGCTCCCATGCACGATTAGACAACTAGATATCCTTTATAATATCTGATTAATTTGAAGACACTTGCCATCTTTTTCAAACCTATGTCCCACTTTATACTACGAGCAGCTGATCATTTAGTTTTTCACTTTTTCTCTCCTCAATCTGATTAGTGATTAAATATGCAGAATAATATGTATTGGTGAATTTCATTATTATTTGTTTATCACTTATATCTGTGGAATTGAGTTTATTTTTACACGACAACAAATATGGAAATGGTAATAAATTTAAGAAAATAAACATACTATATACCCAAATTTAAAAGGTATCGTGTCATAATGACCTGCAACTTGTGTTGAACCTTGAATTTATAGTATTCATCTCACCACAATGGAATTGTGGTAAAAGTTGAAGGCCCCTGATTAATTTAAAATGCAAGATAAGCAAATTAAAAAAGAGAGAGAGAAAAAATAAGCAGTGCTTCCTCCTATCCTCATATGAGAGCTAGCTAGAGTTAGATTTAATTCTAATATAAAATTTCAATTCACTTTATCTTTCCTATTTAGCATTTTTTTTCAAACTAATTTACTAACTTATGAATTGGTACTCCATCCCATCATTAATAGGAGCTAATTGGAGGACTAAATTTGATTTGAATACAAGATAACAATTCATTCTGTCTCTTATATTGATCATTTTTTTCATACTAATTTACCAAACTTAAAAACTAATATATATATATATATATAACATAATGTTACATAGAGGTATTTTAGAGAAATGATACCACATTTATTATAATTAACCAATTTAATTAACCTCCTAATATACTAAATTTAGTTAAGTAGATTTTATATATTAAGGACCAAAGACAGTATATGATCTAATGTCATGTATGTAAGGATATTTTGAGAAGATTAGGTCACTTTTATTATAATTAATAAATTTATTTGAGGGATGAAAACGATAAATTGGAGGGTAATGATAGAAATGCACAGCAACACAGTGGGACTGTCCAATGTGCATTATGGGCACCCAAAGTGGGGGTCATAAAGGGGAGAGATTTAAGAGCAAAAATTAATTAATGAATTAATTAAGGGGGAAGGAATAAAAGGATGAAAATGTCCGTACGAGATGGTGCATATCTCCTTGCTTCCCCGTTGATATTTATAATTTATAACTTTTGTCTGAGAGGAAAAAAATAAGGGGAAAGGTGAAGGCACATGGGAAGAGGGGGGAGCAGAATGAGGAATTGATGGGCCATGCACAGTGCACAAACCCGCTGTGACCCCCTTGCTGCCAACCAGCATCCCAATCCCACTACCCATATATGCTCCATGGGGCTCCCTTTTTAATTATTACGTGTTTTTAATTAATATAAAATCACTTTTATCTAAACATTATATCAGATTTTAACTAACTTGAATTGATTGGAGTAGGATAATAAAGAAGACACACTTTTTATATACTCCTCTGGTCCTATTTATAAGGCAAAAAAAGAAGATTTTTGTTATCCTATTTATAGGGTACTGAGAGAAATTTTTTGTATAAGTATACAATTTTAGCCTTCATTTATTATTGTGTTGAGTTTATTTACATTATGTATAATATATACTAAATAGGGATAAAATAAAAAAGTTGAATTTTAAATGACAATTAATAAAGTTTAAGGTTTTTCTTGATCTATGTGAAATATGCTAGAAGTAACTTATAAATAAGATAAGAGAAGTGTATCTCCTTGTTTACCAATAAGTGCTTGTTTGGTTTTACACATGGATAATGAAACACATGACCTTATGAAAACGCGTAATGATGGTTAATTAATGAGGGATGCACATTCTTTTTTTCTTTGATGGACATTCACACCCGTATATTCATAACAATTTGTGTAATTATTAGATAGATATATTATACTCTTTCGGTCCTTCATATAAGACTCATTTAACTAATTTGATTAGATTAAGAAAGTTAGGTAAGTTAGTTAATTATAAGAAATGTAACGCATTTTTTCTAAAACACCATAATCATTTTTCTTAATACCTCTTCTCCCTCTTTTACTTGATTATGGTTGAGGGAGTATCTATAGGGATAATTTAGAGAAAATTGATAAATATGAGAAATGGATTTCATATTTATAATTAAAACTAACTCAACAATTGGGTCCTATATTAAGGACCGGAGAGTATTAGATTTCACAAGTCCTTAGAGCTAGTCAAACTATCGAAACATTGGTTGCAAGAATCCAATTATGGAGTCCGTAGCTCTTTGAAATCTGTTTCTATCATCATCATCATATGAGTTATGGCATGGTGAAGATAATACTATCTCTTGTCCTTAATATAAAAACTAGTTAACTAATTTGAGTAGATTAAAAAAATTAATTAAGTTAATTATTTGTAATAAATAGGCTTACTAATCAAGGATATCGGTTAGAACTATCATTATTACAATGATTGTATTAAAAAAAATGATTAAATATGAGAGACAAAATGGACTAGGATCTATATTGAGAATTAAAATAAAAATCAAACGAACTATTATATTAAATTCGGAGGCAGGCAGTAGAATAGTAACTTATACTATAATTGGGACATAAAACAATAAGCAACATCTGCGTATATACTTAGACTTTTGTGTGTGGTGTGTGTGTGTGTGTAAGGATACGATTACTTATACTCCAATTAGTGCATGACTTCTAAAAATGGACTTGTATATGTGTGTATATTGGAAGAAAAAATATACCGCATCCCAATATTTGGATGAAAGTGAGCATGAGTAAATTCAACAAACAAATTCCTCGATAGTAGTAGTT